ATATTTTATGATTTTTTTTACCTTTCATAATGTAAACTATTTTCACCAAATTCTTGGATTTTTTAGGACATTCAAACGCTCATTATATCGACTCATATCCATTAAACAACGTTTATTTTTTCTTTGTTCAATGTAAGCTCCCAAGTTCTGATCAAAAGTTTCACGATTCAGAAAATTATATCGTTGCGGTTCTATGATTATTATTGAAGAATTGGAAGAGAAAGTAAGTAAAGCTAATTTTTTTTCTTATTTATACGAATGTAATACATCATCAGTTATTGATCACTGTAATGAGTCTAATAACTGACTGCATTAAGAACATGTTAATTGAGAATTGACAAATTTTGTGATCGATGCAGAACATAAGCATTAATTTGTTTTCGTTTTTTTTAAAATTATTCATTTCTTTAAATTCGTTAAGCAGAATTGCATATTATTAAATTTTTTTTTTTTACACTATTAAATAAATAGGTTAGTCATTAGGGAGTACAGCATAATTAAAAATCTATCTGATTGGTTGTCGATCCTTGAATTTTTAAGGTAAACGTCTATATGAAAATACAATCAGTTATAAGAAAACTCGCCAACGAATCTGATTATACCAAAAGTAACGTTGGAGAACTAAATTTCTTTAAAATTTCGTTAGCTGTTAATTATGTAAATTTATTACTTTCAAATAGGAAGTAACAAATTTGCATAATAAACTGTTAACGAATTATATAGAAATTTAGTTCTTCGGCATTACTTGCTTCTGGTAAATTTAATCTGGTATAATCAGATTCGTTAGCGAGTTTTCTTATAACTGATTGTATTTTCATATAGACGTTTACCCTAATTAGCCAATAAAAATTCAACCAATCAGATAGATTTTTAATCATGCTGGGGAGTGCAGTGTACTATATAAATTATTAATGAATATTTTTTAGCTAGTTAATAACTTAATGATCGTTAAGTGACTTAACGATAAATAACTTAATGATCATTAAGTAACTTAACGATAAATAACTCAACGATCGTTAAGTTGTTAAGTCTACAAAATGAATTTGTTTATAAATTAAATGAAATGATATAGATCCGAATAATATTATATTAGAAATTTACTATTGTATTATTATTGCTAAAACTATGTAATATAATAATAAAATAAAGTAAAATAATTTATTATTTAATTAAAATTAAGTTTGCTCGCAATATCAAGACCGCTTCTTGATGGTACATGCATGTTTTTGGTTAAATTGTCCAAGTTTTTTACATGGTCAATTTTCTTACCTTGCCAATGAATTTTAAACATTTCACGAATCAATTGCACTAATTTTTTTACTGAACCACACCTTTGAAGCTCTCTTTGATTGGTTCCTCCAATAAACCTATTAAGAACTTCCATTGCTACTTTTTCGCTAATATAATTCTTAATATTTTCATTTGTTAACGATGTTATACCTTGTCTAAAATTAATAATACAAATATCAGATATAATACGTATCAAATCAATTACAATATATACGTATATATTTAATATATACCTTTCTTGTATTGCTTTATAATTTTTAATATGATCTATTACTGATTGGTTGAGTATGTGCCGAAAATCACTTAATGTATTTTTTGTTTTAGTTCGTATTTCTGTTCCTTCTTTAGAATATGGTGGATACCCAAATATTTTTTTAACAAATTCATCGATACATGTTGCCGGGAGAAACCTTGCTCTAAGAAAGAAACATTTTATTTCTTCATCCCATATACGTGCACTATCCTAAAAAAAAATTATTTTTATTTATTATATTATTTTTTTTTAAAAAAAGAAAAATAGATTATATCATAAATCTTACTCTGTTATTAACCGTTCTTGCCGAAATTGCAGATGAAGGCATTGATGATTCATTAAAAGTACCAATATTTTCAATTGATGTTGAAGATGCCGTATACATTTGGTTGGCTAACTGTAGTATAGATGCATGCTTTACCAGCCAATTGCATATTTCTAAAATATTATTCATCTCGTCAAATTCTGCTGGAATTTGACTAACTTCTGCTCGTTGTTTTCCTTTGGATTTTTCTTTTATAAATATTAACAAATTAAAATTTAATAATAAATATATATAGTTTATATATTAAAAATTAGATAACAATCCAAGCTCAATAGATAAATACTTGATTTACCCGATTGAAATTCTTTGACATGCTCGTTACTTGAAATTCCTGTTAATAAATTGGCTTATTTTAATATAGTATATATATATAATAATATGAAAAGTTAACAAATTAAATATTAATAATATAAAATAATTTTTAAATAATTATATAAAGCCCAGACCCCATTATCTATTTTTTGATTAATTTTAATGAATACCCAATAGATTATACGTAGTGTTTAACTAATAAAAAATTTAATCTTAATAAACAATACCCGATTGAAATTTTTCATTTTCGTTATGTGAAATTGCTATTAATAATTTGGTTTAGTTTAGTATAGCACATATAATAATAATAATAATAATGATTTTAATACTAACAATCAAGTAAACTATATATATCATTATGTTGACTATTATCGTTATCTTCGTTCTCTGATAGCAAATTTAAAATATTTGTTGCTATATTAGATGTTGAAGAATTACCTGCTTCATCTCCAAATATAACACTCCCTTGATAAAATATTTTATTTTATTAATAATAATACTATCTAAACTTAAATAATTTTTAATAAAGTATATACTTTGATTTTGATTTTTGGTTGAAGATTTCGGCAATGATGAAGCATCATTATTGTCGTTATTTTGAATATTTCCTTTTTTATAAATAATATTTATATTTTTTTAAAAAGAATGATATATAAAAATTAAATAATACTTAAAAAATTAATAAATTACGTTGATTTTGACTTAGTTCATCATCTTCGTCTTCATTTGTATCCTCATTTGCATCCTCATTTGCATCCTCATTTTCATCCTCATTTTCATCCTCATTTTCATCTTCATAATAAACCAATGATTTTTTTGAAGAATTTTTTTGTGAAGATTTAGATACATTTTTTGGGGAAGATTTAGATGCTTTTAATACTTTTGTTAAAGGTTTTGCTTTAGACGAAGGTTTTGGAACTTTTGTGTGAATCTTCGAAGAAGATTTAGCAACCATTTCTTGGGATTTTGAGGATTTTGGTGGATGACCACGCTTTGTTTTTTCTACAGTATTTTTCATTTTTTTAAAAAATTATGAGATAAAAAAGTAGAGTTCAAAGTTTGTAAAAATTAACAATATCGTTGCTATTTATAATAAAATATATTTTATTGAAATATAATTAATATAGTAAATTTATTCATTTTAAACTTTTATTTTTTAAATTAATAATTTTTTTTATTAAAAATTTAATTTTTAAATATATAATTAACAGACAATTTTTAATCGAACACGAGTTACGTATTAATTTAAACTTTTTGTTTAATATTTTAACTTTTATTTTTTTAAATATTATAATTTTTTTTATTAACATATGTTACATATTAATTTAAACTTTTTGTTTATATATTTTAACTTCTTGTATTATCAGAACGATTTATAATTCTAATTAATAAAATTTTTATTAACATGAGTTATGCATTAATTTAAAATTTTTATTAACATGCATTATGTATTAATTTAAACTTTTTATTAACACATGTTACATATTAATTTAAACTTTTTGTTTACTTCTTGTATTATCAGAACGATTTATTATTCTAATTAATAAAATTTTTATTAATATAGTTATATATTAATTTAAACTTTTTGTTTACATATTTTAACTTGTATTATTAGAACTAGTGTTTGGCACAATCGAACAAAAATTTAATAGTCAAATATATATTGATATTATATATACTTGTGATAAAATCAGACATCAAATAATCGAATACTACATATATGTATATGTGTATATATTTATCTGGTGTCCGACTTAATCACAAGTATATATATTTGACTATAAATTTTTGTTTGATTGTGCTGAGCACTTAAAACTATTTATAATTCTAATTAATATTTATTAATATGATTACGTATTAATTTAAACTTTTTGTTTACATATTTTAACTTCTTGTATTATCAGTACGATTTATAAAATTTTTGCTACTATTAAATTTTAAACTTTTTGTTTACATTATCAAATCGTATCAAATCTTATTATTATGACAAAATAACAATGATTTTATCTACAGTAAATTTATATATTTATGATTACATATTATACCAAGCATAACAAATCTCGATTCTTATCAATATAACAAAATAACAATTATATTATTTATAGTAAATTTATATATTTATATATTATGTATTATAACAAAACCTAATTCTTATTAAAATAACAATAATATTATCTATAATAAATTTAAATATTAATTATTAATAAAAGTTTATATTTTTTTATCTAATTGTTTTTTTTTTACAAGTTATAAAGATAGCTACTTTTTTTTTCTAGTTTATTAAATATTTCTTTCTTCTTTCTAGTTTATTAAATATCTCATTCATTCGTTCTTTCTAGTTTATCAAATACCCCTTTTCTCTATAATTGTTTTATAAACATGTTGCGTAATAAATTTGGAACAAAAAATAATAAAAATAATAAAATTTTTTCGTTAAGACAAAGATTTTCTTATAACACTTCTAAATATTTAACACAAGATTCTACAATGCAGTTAGACCCTTCTTCCATATATTCTTCAGATGAACCAATGGAGTATTATGAAGAATCTAACGAACATTCTTTTGAAGAAGACAATATTAGTTACCATAATGAGCCTGCTATATATTCTTCGGAAGAATTAGATAAAGATATAAATTCTTGTAAAGAATTTACTTCTGAAACTTCTAGCAATAGTATTAATTCTTGCGATGAATTAAGCGATGAATTAAGTGATGAATTAAGCAGTAATAGTTTATCGGCATCTGTTGAAGACGAATTTTTTGAAGATATTGCTGACAAAGCTTTAGATTTGAATAAATTGTCACAAAATATTGGTGAGTTTTCACCATATTTTGAAAATACAACTACTGCATTAATGTTTAGTTGGA